AAAACAGTGATCGCCATCTCAGGCACAATTTAGATCGCCGTCTCAGGCAAAACAGTGATCGCCATCTCAGGCACAATTTTGATCGCCGTCTCAGGCAAAACAGTGATCGCCATCTTAGGCATAATTTTGGTCGCCGTCTCAGGCAAAACAGTGATCGCCATCTTAGGCACCATTTTGGTCGCCGTCTTAGGCAAAGCAGTGATCGTCATCTTAGGCACAATTTTGGTCGCCGTCTCAGGCAAAACAGTGATCGCCATCTTTGGCACAATTTTGATCGCCGTCTCAGGCAAAACAGTGATCGCCATCTTAGGCACAATTTTGATCGCCGTCTCCAGGCATACTAACAGCCCTCTATAGGCAGATTGATCGCCGTCTCCAGGCATACTGACAACCCTCTATAGGTATATTGATCACCATCTTAGGTAAATAGATAGATATATAGATAGATGATTTTGCCCTCTGAGGCATACTGCTCGCTCTCCTAGGCATATCGATCATCATCTATAAATATGATAATAGTAACAATGATATAAAAGGTAAAAGGTATACTAACATAAGGTACATATTTTATGTCAATCCCATTGGATTTTTTTTGAAGGAATATTAACAGTTAGCAAAAACAGTTTGCTAAAAATGATAATATTACTAGTCTGTACATTTTGTACATTTGTTGCTTTAAAAACAATCTAAAATGTCAGTATTCCATGGATATATTGATAAATGAGGTCTAAATTATAAGAAAATGCATTTTCTACGAAAACTTGAAGGGATAGGTAAAAAATGGTATAACACAATTTGATAGACAATTTAATTGCATCTGATTCTCCTAAAATATACAGGGCATTCCATTTAAATTAAAGAAGTTATTGCCGTTTGAAGCTAATAATTATTTAAAATAATTTTTTAGACACTCTCTATAAGGTAGTATTATTTTTATTATTGCAACACAATAACTGATCAATAAATAAACTTCATTAAATATTTAGTATTAAAAACATTGATACCCTTGGTGAAATAAAGCTTTAAAATTTTTACTTCAATTTCACAAAATTGAAAATATTTCAAAAACGTAATGTTTAAGTATAATAAACCTTAATCAAATTTACCTTTATTTTAATCGTAGAAACTAAAAATGTAATAATATACAGGGTGTTCCATTTAAAAGAAATACAACTTTGATATTTTTTATTTATTTGGGACACTCTGTATCTTGTAAAAATATTTTTAAATTGTAGCTCTAATAGTCCTTCAACGAACCCCAAACTTACAATTTGTAAAAATCTCATGGTTTAGCTACAATACTCCGTGTCGTATGTGGTGAACAACCCTGTATACATAGTAATGAAACTTCTACACCCTGTATCTCCGAAACTAAGCATTTTTGGACATACATTTATACGAACTTTTTTACTTATTTTTATCTGCACAATATGCTCCCAAAGTTTCCGGAATACAGTTCGGACCACCCTGTATATACAGGTTGCAAGGAGAACAAAAGTTTGTATTAAAGTGAAATTTTCTGAGCTTATGTAAGTCAATTTAAAGTATTTTCTAAAATTATGTAGTGTTCTCTACAGGGTGTCCCCTAAAAGTTACACATCAAAATTATGTTTTTTGTAATGGAACACCCTATATATAAATTGATTTTTGGATTCTAGTAAAAACATAAAGGTTTGTTTCATTAGAAAATTATATGACTAAAATGTATAGTTTTTAAAATACATTTACCAGCACGAAAAAATGGGCACCTTAAAACTTTGATGTATTTTTAATATATTTTATTTTAATGGGCCAATTTTGATGATTTTTTAAGCAGTGTGTTGCCAAATTATTTGACTTCTTAGTATCTTTTTCTAAATTAAAAATGAAACTCCCTATCTGTTAATTATACGAGGGAAAACAAAATGTTGATATTTTTGATGAAAGTTTGAAACACCCTGTGAAATATGTTAAAACAACAAGAAATTTAAAATTATTTTATCATCTAGATACGTCCTTTCTCGATGGTTTGTTTTTGGTTCATCTCATTAGCTTTATTTTTGTTGAAACTATTCGGTTTTAAAGAAGGCACTAACATTTTTCGTAATTTTTACATTAAGACCATGCCTTTGCTTTTGGGCCTAGTCAACACATCTAGTAAGTTCTGGTCCTGAAACAGGCCTTCTTGACATAAGATTTGCTTCATTTAATCTGCTTCTTGTAGTCCGTTAGTTAATATGTACGGTTCTTAAGTGCAATTCATTATCAATTTGAAAAGTTGGCAAACGGCGGCGGTTTCTTAGCGATAAACTTACAATAAGTCGATCGTCTCGATTAAAAGTTCTCATACGAAGGTTCCTGGACGTCTATATTGACGTCCTCATGGACGTGGTCATAATTCAAAGACAATTTAATATACTCTATGGTATTAAGGTATTTTTGGAACCAGAATTTTATAGCAAATTCACTAAACTCGAATAAATAAATGATATATATTTGACTCACCCTGTATATCTATAAAAATATTTTTGAAATGTAAACTACCATTAAACATATATTTTGTAAAAGGTTTGGAGTGAAAATCTCAAATAGAAATCCTGTTACAGAGCTTTTCCGGAAAAGGGAGCCATCTTGTATGTATGCATTTGTATATGTGTGTGTTTTATTTAAATACTAAAGTGAAAGCAACGAATTTAAATAGGTAAACTTTGTAATATATCTTATTAACAATACAATGCAAAAAGTTTTATAAAAATTCGTTCACAGTAAATGAATTCCGAGGTTTGTATCTCATAAGGGCTTAAAGCACTCCACTATATACAATGTCACACCCTACTATACTAAAGTGAAAGCAACGAATTTAAATAGGTATAGTAAACGCCACGAATGTTTGGGAGTGATTCATTACTTGATGAAGTTAAAATCGACACGTGCGCTATCATTTTACATTAAAAACGTAAATTTTACCGCAGACGTAGGTTTTAAAGGCCCGGTCTAATCATCTCCCTGCGCTCCTCCTACTTACTCTAAAATGTTAGCGTGATTGAGAAAGACGATACTATATCGCGTTTCTTTGATTGATTCGTTTTTGTGCGTCAGTCCATTGTGTGCTTGCAGTGCCACCAATGGGGCATTCAAGTTTATATTTATAACCAAATATATCTTTTGACAAGGCTTTGACAATTAAAACAACAAATTACAATTATACAATCTCTTCCTCCAGATTATATATTGATTATTATATGACTTGAAACACCACGGCACTGGAATTAAGTTTTATGTGACCTTGAACAGATTAGTTCACATGGTAGCGACCGATGAATCACTCCCAAACATTCGTGGCGTTTACTATAAACTTTGTAATATATCTTATTAACAATACAATGCAAAAGTTTTATAAAAATTTGTTCCCAGTAAATGAATTCCGAAATTTGTATCTCATAAGGGCTTAAAGCACTCCACTATACAGGGTCCGGCAATGGTGCGTCGGGCATCTGTAGCTCCTAGAATAAAAACTTGAGAATTTTGTTTAAGTGCATACTTAATGTATGTACCATGATGTATTTCAGGAAAATATTTTAACTTCTATAGGGTGGCTCAAAAGTGTGAGTGGACCTGGATGATTTTTTTAAATGGAACACCCTGTATATTATTGCACTTTTGGCTTTCTTTCAGATCACTTTACATAACCCTAAGATATGAATAAATAAATTTCGATAGTTTCAGAGATATTAAAAATAAATAAAAAATATATATTTTTAGCCCTTCTTAAAAATTATTAAAAAATACAAGAACTGTTCTGAAATCAAAACTATTTTAGGTATTTACTTTAGATGGTCTGTACTTTACTATAAATATGAAAATCGTAAATCATACAGGATGTTCAAAATTCTACATAAACTTTCTAAAATATAAAATAATTTTTCTTCGTTTTTTAAATGGAACACCCTGTATATTATTTTTTCAATAGACGGAGAATTAAAAAATTAACATTTTTTGTATTTAGAGTATTTCAAAATTTGTAACGGTTTCGCAGATATTTGCGGTTTTATATTTCATATGGCATTTTCCACAGTAAATTTTTATCAAAGCCACCCAATGATTTTTCTCTCGTTTTTACCATTGAAAGCGCCATATGAAATAATACTGCGTGTATCTGCGAAACCGTTAAAAATTTTGAAATACTCTAAATACAAAAAATGTTCATTTTTTAACTCTCGATCTAATAAAGAAATAATATAGAGGGTGTTTCATTTAAAAAAACAATGAAAAAATATTTTATATTTTAGAAAGTTTGGCGTAGAATATTGAACATTCTGTATGATTTACGAATACCATATTTATAGCAAAGTAAGAATAGACCAGCTAAAGTAAATACCTAATATACTTTTGATTTCGGAACAGTTTCTGTATTTTTAATAATTTTTTTAAGAAGGGCTGAAAAATATATATTTTTGATTTATTATTTAATATCTCTGAAACTATCGAAATATATTCATTCATATCTTAGGGTTATGTAAAGTGATCTGAAAGGAAGCCAAAAATGCAATAATATACAGGGTGTTCCATTTAAAAAAAATCATCCAGGTCCACTCACACTTTTTTGAGCCACCCTATAGAAGTTAAAATATTTTCCTGAAATACATCATGGTACATACATTAAGTATGCACTTAAACAAAATTCTCAAGTTTTTGATTCTAGGAGCTCCAGATGCCCGACGCACTATTGCCGGACTCTGTATACAATGTCAGAAATAAAGAATTCACTTTGACAATTTTAAAACTAGATTAAAATGCCATAAAACAAATCAAAGAATAATTATTTATTCATATTTTTACAATTCGCCACAATACCGATACAGAAATACTCTTTTGCGTTCTCGCAAATCTAAAACACAAATATTTATTATCAATTTTGATTTACTGGATATGTACGATTTAGTCGCAACTTCATAAGCAACCATCTCACATTTCCTCGTTACTTAATCTAGTTAAACTAACTCTCCCCTATCAATTTTCAGGAGAGCCAATCGAACGAGCACCAAGTGGTCTTGCGAAACATCGGTTTCAACTTATCTGGCAACTTCAGCTGCGAAGTGACCACGGACGAACCGTCGTTCGCCACAGTCACCGTGGTTAAAGACATGTTGGTCGTGGGTAAGTTAAAACGTTTCGGCTTGATTTAGATTTTCAATGTGGCTTTAAGTTCTGTCAGCGCTGGAAGTTCGTTTTAGCGAATTTAAATAAATTATATAGGGTGTTTCTTAATGACACCCTAATATTTAAAAAGGTGATTTTTTGGGTCTATTCTAAGAAAAAAGCTTCATATGAATATATGTCCTAAACATCTTAACTATTCAAATACGGGGTGGTAAAATTTTCAATTTTTTTTTTCAAAATATCTTTGATGGTATACAGGGTTGTTCACCACATACGACACGGAGTATTGTAGCTAAGCGATTAGATTTTTACAAATTGTAAGTTTTGGGTTCGTTGAAGGACTATTAGAGCCACAATTTAAAAATATTTTTACAGGATACAGAGTGTCCCAAATAAATAAAAAAATATGAAAGTTGTATTTTTTTAAATGGAGCAGCCTGTATATTATTACATTTTTAGTTTCTACGATTAAAATAAAGGTAAATTTGATAAAGGTTTATTACACTTAATCCTTACCGTTTTTGAAATATTTTTAATTTTGTGAAATTGCAGTCAAAATGTTCAGGCTTCATTTCTCCAAGGGTATCAAAGTTTTTAATACTAAATATTTACTGAAGTTTATTTATTGATCAGGTATTGTGTTGCAATAATAAAAAAAATTTCTACCTTATACAGAGTGTCTAAAATTTTATTTTAAATAATTACTAGTTTTAAACGGCAATAACTTGTCTAATTTAAATGGAACACCCTGTATATTTTATGTGAATCAGATGCATAATTTAATTGTCTATCAAATTTTATTATACCATTTTTTACCTATCTCTTCAAATTTCCGTGGAAGATGCATTTTCTTGTAATTAAAAACTCATTTATCAATATACCCATGGCATACTGACATTTTAGATTATTTTTAAAGATGAACCAAATGTTTAAAGAGTACAGATACTAATATTGTCGATATACTTTGTTTATTTCATTAAAAAATAAAAAAAACTGTTTAAATATTTGTTAAAGAGGACCAATTAATATGATTGCAGTATTCAAACTACATTAATTGATTAACTACGTTGATTAATAATAATTGCTCCAAATACTAAAAAACTGAATTTTGTATGTGTATTAGACGGTGTGGTAAAAAATAACACCTTAAAAATGATATTTCATTTTTTGACAAATGCTTATTTATAACAACAGAGACATTCATTTTCATAACTTATTATTATATTGATTTCCGATTTAAATCCACATTTATTTTGAATAATTTATTAACGAACATAATTAAGTATGTAATTAATTAGTATTTGGGTGGAAATAATGTTGGTATATTTAATTAATGGTATACTCTTTTATAAAGATTTAGATAGCTTTCTTTTTGCATACAAATGGGCTAGTAATCTTATCTTTTTATGCTCAAAACGATAATAGTACTTACTAGCCTGTACATTTTTTACATTTGTTGCTTTAAAAACCATCTAAAATATCAATATTCCATGGGTACGATTGATAAATGAGGTCTAAATTACAATAAAATGCATTTTCTACGAAAACTTGAAGGGATAGGTAAAAAATGGTATAATACAATTTGATTGACAATTAAATTGTGCATCTGATTCTCCTAAAATATACAAGGCGTTCTATTTAAATTAAACAAGTTATTGCTGTTTAAAGCTAGAAATAATTTAAAATAAATTTTTAGACACTCTGTATGAGGTAGTATTATTTTTATTATTGCAGCACAATAACTGATCAATAAATAGACTTCAGTAAATATTTAGTATTAAAATACTTTGATACCCTTGGAGAAATGAAGCCTTGACGTTTTTACTGCAATTTCACAAAATTGAAAATATTTTAAAAACGGTAAGGATTAAGTGTAATAAACCTTAATCAAACTTAGCTTTATTTTAATCGTAGAAACTAAAAATGTAATAATATACAGGGTGTTCAATTTAAAAAAATACAACTTTGATATTTATATTTATTTGGGACACTCTGTATCTTGTAAAAATATTTTTAAATTGTAGCTCTAATAGTCCTTCGACGAACCCAAAACTTACTATTTGTAAAAATCTAATCATTTAGCTACAATACTCCGTGTCGTATGTGGTGAACAACCCTGTATACAGTATATGTGTATACCTTTGTATACACATAAAGTGTAGCATATCATTATACTCAGGAGACCGAGTTCTTTGAAAAACTGAAATAAAAAATGCAGGTTCGTATTTAAAAAAATTAAGTCGGCCTCTGTATCTCACAAATTATCAGCTAATTTGAAAATCTAAAAATACTGCCAGATAGCCCTAATAAAGTGGCTATGAGAATATGCAATTAGCTTTTTGATTTTTTAAAAAGTGACGACAGGAAAAAATAAAATTGATTTTCAAAAAAATTCGTTTTTTCCAAAAAACCCAGCAATCCTACAAATACAATAATCTTAAAGAAGGCGATTTTACAAAGATAGATTTTTTTAGTAAGTAATTTATTTAGTAAATGCACCCTGTATAACAAAAGGATTCAGTGACATTAAACAAATTAGGTTGCTATTTGACTTGAATTATGTCATATTAAAAAAATTGCTTTTATCTCATCAAGAAGACAAAAATCGAAAAAAGAAGTTTTAATCGACCATTAAACGGTCTACATAATTTTTCTAATGAGAGAAAAAACTCAGCGGCGTGCATATTATTTTAGAAAAATATTCCATTGATATCCCACCGATACAGCCACGGTACGTACTATGTACGTACCTGGTACGTAATGTTGGGACGAACGTCAATCCCTGGTACGTACAAGTATGTACAGGTGTGTACTATGTACGTACTAGATACGTACATTTTCCAACGTTTTGTACGTCCCCGGTACGTCCCTGGGATGTGGTAAAGTACGTACTATGTACGTCGCATGTACGTACATTCCAGGTACGTATATTTTATGTTTTGTTCCGAACCAAAACTGGATGTAAAATGATCAAAAGTACGTACAATGTACGTACTATGGATATACAATGTACGTACTATGGACGTTAGGTTAGTAATATAGACGCACATTTTTATCATTAAAAAATGTGGCACTTAAGTAACTTTTAACCTCAAAATTTCATTCGATTCACTAAGAGCACTTAGAACAAAATTATAATAAATAGAAACAGACACGAAGACTCTACTCCCCTGTAGCTACGAAACAGAAGAAATCGGATGTTAAAATAAAAATAAATCTTATTTTTACGTGAGGAAGGTTTTTGAAATACCCTGTATATAATTTAAGTTTTCAAATATGTTTGTTATCAATTTGCATTATAATTAACTTTATTATTACACAGATGGACACTAATTGCTAAATTTGCATGTTCATTACATTAATGTATTATTTAACGCAATATATTTGCAGCTGTAATATATAAGATAATCCTTCTTTTTAATACAAATTACTAGATTAATTAAATGTACTTAAATATAAAAATACAATATTAATAGATTATTTAATTAATTATACTATTGAACTATGACAAATTTCAGAAAGTGTTATTTGTACACTGGTTTCAACTTAACTCGAACTAAATATGGAAATGAAAACATTAAGAGTAATAAAATGTCTATAAATGCATTTTTCTAGATATTTCTATATTTTATTTCTAGATAAAAACTTTATTACTTTCTTAAATGTATACAGGGGTGTCAAAAATTGCTGGTGTATTTTAAATATTTATTTTACATAAAAACTTCGTTATTTCGAATGCAACACTATGTATTTTTTTAAAAAAGACGAAGTAGATTTAAATTCTCTTTCAAACTATATTAGGGTTTCCTATACCTATCTGGTTCAGATTTTGAATGAAAAGCGATTTTTCAATAAATTGGCAATCAAGATGACTGGTGTCGCCATGACAATTTGCTAGTGACAGTTAGTAGCTATTGTCAAAATCGACATTAATTTATGGACTTTATTTAAATTTATAACAGTTTACTTTTATTTAATTTAACTATAATAGTTTGATAAGTATTTATTATTTATTTATTTTACGATGATTTGTAGATATATTAGATTTTCTATAAAAGAACCAATTAAGGCAAATTCATTTTCTTCACTTCCAATGACAGGTTTTTGCCTAATAGGTTTTTCATATACCTCACTATCAGCTCTACCAAATAGAAAAAGTAGTTTTTCAAAGGAACGCTTGTCAAGAAAATTCCTATTTGGATATCTTTGAGCATAAACCCTTCAGGCCCACAGTTAGCCTGGGCCAAGATTCCAAGAAAAAAAATATATAAAGTTTGAGTGTTATATTTTTCAAATGCTCATACCTCTGGGTTTAAAAAAATATTAAAATGAAAATCGCCGACGTACAATTGGGGTCTCTACACAAATTTCAAAAAATATACTTTTTTAATCAATATTAAAAGCTGCGCACAAGTTTTGGTAAGAATATTCTAGGACCATTATCACCTAAACGTAACCTTCGCTGTTGCCCCCCTTTTTTTGAAAACAAGAGATTGGGTCTTCACACAACTTTAAAAAATATATAATTTTTTATCCAGTGGCAAAAGCAAAAAAAGTTATTTCTTGTAATTATTTTGAAAGGAACACACTGGTGAATAAATTTAATAGATTTTTAATACTTATTTTAGGTCTATTCTTCAATTTTTATATAATATTTTACTTTTAGTGTGAAAATTAAAGATATTAACCAAAGTAGGCTATGCGGCCAAACGTAAACAAATTGGCACGAAACAGTTGACTACACAATTTTCTGTCAAAAGTTCAGTTTTATTTAGTTTTGCATCGTCTGTTACATTTTGTCAAAAACGGTCCTATAAAGAGTGGCGATCTGCTCTATGTTATACATGTTTTAACAATGCTACATGTTAAAATATTACAGGTAAATTGTTTGGTTTAATAATGGATATATCGCCAAATTACAGCATTGATGACAATTGCTTGCGTAATGTTGTGTGTGGCAGCTGCTATACAAAATTAAATAAACAAAAACTGACTAA